AAGGGGGAGGGTTGGGGGTCAGGACCCCATGTTATTTTTATAAATGATTATATCCTGAGTTTAAGATAAAAATAATACTTTTTACTAGAATATATGACAAATTGCTCTGATAGATTTGGGTTTCCTGTTGTAAAAGAAATTGCTTTACAGGCAAATATTTTTTTCAATTACATGTAAAACTCTTGCAGACTTTGCTGAAATCATATTGTATAATTTCCTTTATATAAATACCTTGGTTCCAAGGTCATTAAATTTAAAAAGCAAAGGCAACAATATGATAAATACAAATACTAAAATGAATTCATCTATAAAAAAGAGAAAACCTATGGAACCAGGGTATTATATAAATAATTTCAACAGAATGTTACCTGATTGTTTCAATTCTTAAAATTCAATTTTAGTTTGTATAGGCCTAGTTTAACTAAAACACTCAGTGAATCATGTAAAAAAACGGTAATACTCTACCTAGGGGTCTGGTCTGCAATGTTTCTAGACTCAAAATCTACATCAATCACAGCATGAAGTATTTTATTGGTGCATTTAGTCAGTCATTGGTTTTGGTGGGAGAAAAACAGTGTTCTATTTATAATCTATACCCAATCAAATAATTTATTTTCATATCATTATGGTTATGAATTTTATTAAAATATTAATAAAAAAAATCTCGAATTTTATTTTGCTTAAAACATTAAAGTGGTGCTAGTGTAGTATTGCAACATTTTTTCAAAATGTCAATTATAACATAAGTACTTCGGTGATGTGAATTTGCATAGTTATTTGAAAAGTTTCCTTGATAAAAAATACGTCAAGGCCTGCACCTGAGAATTATGCTAATTTTTCAATCTTTCTAATTTAAAGTGTCTGAAGCAAGGTTCTAACTTATTTTTAGACATTTTTTGATCATATTACGATAACGTTTCAATTTCTTCTTTGTATTTGGTAACATGATTTTAGAATATCAAAAATATTGCTATTTTCGAAACAATAACTAGGTTTTGCTTGAGTGGTCCAGCTGTCAAAATCTTTGCTGATCTAACAAAATGCTAATTGCTGGCAAAGTATTTTAATTTTATAGTATATAAAAAAATTTTCCTGTTTTGGGCAAGAGAAATTCCATATCGTTCTTTGTAAACTCTGTCATCGTATTAAAGATCGTGTGAAAATGCTAATTAATGATCGTTTAGCTCGCTTATTGCTTTATAAACAATTTTCTGTATGGACTATTAGACGAAATATTAGCAAGACGCAAAAAATAAACACGGGTAATGCGAAAGAAGAAAGATAACATCGACGTCAATGTACAGGACTTAACATATAAAAAAATTTGAATGGTATTAAATTATTATTGTGTAATGACAAAAGAATTTTTCATCATGTAACAACAGAATCGATGTGTTATTTCATTGTTCTCGAAATCCACTGGCTGCATAACATTTAAAATCGTGTTTCGATATTTCCTATAAATTCTATCGACTGTTCCTCGATGTTTTGGCTTTAGATACTGCCTTTAATAATACAATAATTTATGAACGATCAATCATATCAGTATTTAAAACAAACACAATCTCATTTATGAATAAAAATGTTATTTCAYAATCGAGAAAAACRATCGCGGTTTTCTAGTGCTTCACGCATTTGCAATAAGAACTTGTTGCCCTGTCCCCTTCAAGGCTATGAATATAAACAGCAATCTGATTTTTAAATCAGATTRGGATATTTTAAAACACTGCCATTGCCACAAACTTGGAACGGTCTTGATTTTAAGAACCGCAATTCAACCAACGACCGCTCCAACTTGAAGATTTCTAATCCAAGAACATTATTTTCCAATTGGACAGTAAGGTGATATCAATTGTGCCTAAGGACACTGTGAGTTCGTGAACAAAGTTTCCGTTCGAAATTTAACCACAAGTTCAAATGATATAAAGAGATTGAAGAAACAACACTACTACTACAATATAAATTGATGGTCTATCGGACAAACACCGTGAACGCATCGTTAAATGTTACTTAAAGATTTGAATCTTCAATATATCGTGCGATGAAAGCTTCCATTTGACAATATGTATTCTAGTGAGAACAGAGAACAGCCAGGAACACATTTTTCGAACGATCAATCATTATTTGTGTATGATTTGTACATTTCATGTGAGCGAAACAAAAGACATACCTTTTGATAAAGTGATAAGTCCAACCAAAAAGAATATGTTACCAATAAAAGAACTGCTTATCCCCATGTCGATTCTCTAAGCGAAAATCAGTTAGACATTAGACTCCAAACCAAACGTCTTACATCACATCACTTCTRCTTTGTTTTAAACACAGTCGATAAACAAATGTGGTTCGTTCGGCACATTGCTGGCAGCTATCTTTGTTGACAACTTCAACCGCCCGTTACCAGCCGACTAGAACGTGAGCATCAGGCTGCTGTTGAACTCTGTTGTGTCTTTTTTCGACAGTTTTTCCGATGGCCCACAAACCGGACGAGTTCGATACTCTCCGAACAGTGACGTCTGATTGTTGTAGTGATGGCTACTAGGACAATCGGATTACCTAGTAGGGGAGAGCAAGGGGGGTTGTCAATATCAGATCAACATAGAAAATTCWATCTAAACCCCAACCTTTGTGAGAGAAGATGTTCTGCTTTAGCTCCAGGGTATAAACACATAGATTAAGACAAAAATAACACTGCTTTATTTGAATTTTGCATGTAAACAACTTTTTCTATAACCGGAAGTGCGTCTGCCATACCTAAGATAAACATCTAACGCATTTCCGTTTCGTGAGTCTGCGGGCTCATATATAAAACATGCGCAGTTGTCAGCTGCGCAGATCTGAATAATATCGAAGGTGAAGTCAAAATGGCGGAAATGGAGTTTTGATGAAAGTCTTGTAGCTTATGTAGTTGATTCGTTGGCCTCTGGTCGGTCACCTGGCCTCAGGATGAAAAAGCAGTTTTATCGCGTCAAACAGCTTGCTGATCAGCGCGTTGGCAGGTATGCAGCTTTGACTTCACGAAGATCAATGGAGCGGAAGCCAATCAGTCTTGACTTCAATGAACACAAATTATAATGTCACGGGCTTCTATTTAAAACAGCATTTATCCAATTAAGAGGCTAATTATAAACATCTACGTTCAATTAATTTATCTGACTTTACAGAGCTGAGAAGACTGAGATTTTGACAGAGGAATTACAGAATGTAAGTACGAATTGCTCATTTTGTGGTTTTTGTGTGTGTGCAGTGATGTTTATCTCGTGTCTGTACCACGAGCAAAGGAAGTCACCCCCCGCAAGCGCTCAAATTCTTCATTTGATCAAATGTTCGAATTTCAGAAGTTGATCAAGTGTTCTTTGTTCAAACTAACCCAGATGTGTTGGTTTCAATGCATGGGAATCGATTTCAGACTAGCCACTTCAACAGTTTGTGATTGTTTTTGATAAGATTTGGGCAAGGCTGGAGGTGTTTCCTTCGCACACAATTAAAAAACAAGGAAATTCTTAAACACCTTTTACATGCTAATTTTTCATTCCAAAACAAAATATTGATATTTAAAACTCAAAAGATTATACTTAGCTCTTGCATCCAGTCTACAAGAAAATGAAAAAAATAAACAGTATTGCATGTATCTTATTTATTTGTTTGTTTCAAGGTATTTGGAAGTGGTTTTGAAATTGAAAAGAGATATTTCTGATTATGTAAATGCAGCTGATGTGTTTTAGTTTAAACCAGTGTTATGCCTGTTGTTGCATGCAATCTTTCTACAATATTTGTGACATTTAAAACCAGCATGAAAAATGAATTATTCTGCAGCCATTTATGGAAAATTATTAACAAAACACTGCCATTAATCTGCAAAATTGCAGGCTCTCAAATGAAAGCWYAATATCCATTATTTCATTTTCATTTGTTTTGTTCAACAACTAGCCATGCTTTGCAGTACGGATTACCACTTGCTATGACAAAACTGAAATACCTTAATTTTTTTTTTTTCAGTTTTACATTTTGTGTAATATTTTGCACTTTCTTTGAGGTTTTTTCAGAATTATTTCTTACTCCTTAACATTAGAAAAGAGACAAAAGGAAACCTATTAACACCAATCCTTTCTTCCTGCAGCATTTTCTCAATTATCTGCATGACAGATAGAAATAGTATTAGTTAATGGTTTCATTGTTTTGTGACTTTTTAAGCGAAAGCTGATGCATGCATATCATGATATTAAAGTGGTAATTTTCCCTAGTGAATATAAAACATTTGAGGTTTCTCTATATATGGGACGTAAAAAAAGGTATTGCTTTCACATATAATTATATGATAAACAGAATATTACATGGTTGCTTGGAGACATAAATTTTATCTTTCGAACATTCAGAGATACAATGTAAAATCTGTATCTGATATCCTCAATATCTTTGATAATTCAAAAAATACTAAATCCTTCTCACTACTTTGTGGCCTATTTGCGATATTCTCTGCTTGAAATCTTAGGAAATGTTAACTAGCTTTGTATGACTTGGCGCGTTAAATTTGAGTGTGAAGTTATGTAAGTTTGACGCCTTTCCAGATAACCCTCCCCCAGGGTCACCCTACTCTAGCGTTTACATGGCAAAAAAGTTGGCCCTCCATGGATGGTCATCCTACCTGTTAAATAGGGTGACCCTACCATTAATGATAGTCCTAATGCATGTATGGTAGATGTATTTGTGTCTATGTATATCTTATGAATAAAACTTCATGTAGGTCGAGAAAACAGTTGAAAAAATCAAGCATGCTTGTCATGCAGCAAGCAAAAGGATTACTGCCTCAATGCAAGGCCAAGGAAGTGATTTTGAAAAACGAATGGTAAGAAACAGTAGAATTACACAATTCATGTTACCTTATCGACAAGAGTGGACTCTTGTTAAAGAAAAATGTAATTAATATTGTTAGCAAAATCACTAAAATGTACACTTCCCACAACAAGAACATGTCTAAAATGTGTACATATGGGTAGCTTTCATTCTTGTACACTTAGCTTCTCATTTTCGCAATAGAAAATCAAAGGCTCTGGTTTTAGAGGAATAAGGCTTTGATTTGGTTGGTTCAAAAATTCCCATACCATCAGTATACACATATTGTATAACCCAGATTCTTGATCTTCTGGAATCGTTTCCAGCCAGAGCCTTTGATTTTCCATTAGGAAACTGAGGAGGATCTGAGTACGAGAATGGGTAGCTTTATAGCCTAATATTTCAGGTAATAAGATGTTTATTTTATGTGTCTATCATATGTGCTGTTTATCATATATTAAAATCAACAAGTTTGCCTCACTCACTCGTTCACTCGCTAAACCACTCACCCACTGGATCARYCACTGACTCAATTCTATTCTCAGTATTCGTCAGCCCTTTTTGAAATAGGTTTATATTCATTATTTCATTCATTACTTGTTTGATCAMCCTTCATGGTGAGGTTAAGGTGAGATCCATGAWAATTTGTTGTTTTTAGGCTATGTTATTTCAAAAATCCAAAGGTAGTCTTGATGATATAYCAATATTATCATGGAACAAACAGATGCAKTATGATGCCATGGTAAAAATCACATCCTTTTTCTAACCACCACTCATAACCTAATAAATAGTGCTAATGCTGAACCAGTYTGCAARATTAAACCCCTGTGGGGGTGGTGTGGGGTGGGAGGTGAGGCCAGTTTTTTATGTCCCTTTGYTGYCCAGATTAATMCAATTTCAATGCAGTTTGCTAATTGCTAATTAAGCCAATAAAATTCGAGAATTGTGGYAAAATATGATAGATTTTAAGTTTGTTCATTAWTTTCAGAAAAAGCTAAACCAGGCTGGAKTTGCACAAAGCATGTTAGAATCTAGCAATCAGCTAGGTGATACATCACTTCTTGGGTAAGATATTATTTACTATTTGGATGTATTTGGCTCAAGCTGTATGAAATGAGAAGAGTGAGGACCACAGACATTTTTGACATCCAAAATCATGGTGCATTGTGGTCTAGCTTCAATACAAACAACACCATATTTGGCAGCATGTACAAAAGATGTTTGTACTGGGTCTAGACCACAATGCAATGCAAGCTATTATCTCAGAAAAGGCGCTGGCCAAACTCGGTCAATAAGTATTTCAAAGGTTTTCTTGGTAGGATGCATTAGCCATTGTCTACCATTATTGTTTCTGTTATATTGTGCAGGGCTCGAAATAATGGCTGGTCAAAGGACAATGTCCTTCCAAATTCACTAGATGACTGGCCAAATCGGGTTTTGAAAGGACAAATTGACATTTTTTGACAAAAAAAAATCAATGCCCAATTCTTTAATATCTTTTGTTTTAAAATGCTTGCCGATCATTCTGAATCCAAAAAGCAATAAATTAAAGGAAAATAATAGTATAATAAAGTTTTTGTCCTTTCAAAATTCAACATGACCCTTCAAAAATGAATTTGGAAGGACATTTTGTCCTGCATTTGTCTAGCCGTTATTTCAAGCCCTGTTGTGTGTGTTACTTAATGGGTTACCTGTGGCACAAGGAAGTCCCAACTCAGCAGCTATAGACCCCTTGGATATGATGTCGTAGAAGCTTCATCTGGAGGACAAAACAAACAAATTTTAGATTTTGTTTGTACATACATGTATCCCTTGAATGATGATTTATTATGTTGCATGTTAGTTGGTAATGATATTTTGTAACTGTATTGGATAGGTCAGTGCTGCTTGGCGCAGGAGAAGCTGAGCGTTCTATAGCAAAACAATTATGTGATTATGAAATGGCAGTTGAAAAGAATGTCCTGGCACCAATGACATTATTATTAGAGGTACTTAGATTTAATGAAATGATAAAAAAATCACTGATTTGAAATAATCATTACGATGGTGATTAGATCTAGTGATCGTATGATAGTATGTAACAGTATGTAAATCAGTTTATGATATATTATATTTAAATGTCACTGAAGTTGCTCTAACTGTCTGAGTGAAATATTTTAAACTAACTTACTACTACTTAAAAGAGTGTCGAAGATCACAACGATCACTATATCTGATCACCATGGTAATCATTTCTAAGACCTTCCTGGCGTCAAGCTATGAAATAAGTACCGGTAAATCAAAAATATCTTTACAAATGTAGATGTGTGATATTTATTGAGGTTAATAATTCTACTATCAGTTAACATGTACATGTACATACACCACTTTTCAATTTATCATAATTTCTCTTGTTTCTTGATACAAGTGCTACATTAAAAATTTGTCTATAGTGGTTTGGTAAATTGTTATTTTGTATTTGTTGCTAGAATGATATACCTAATCTTGCTCAATCAAAGAAGAAGCTTTCCAAAGCTGCCTTAGACATGGACACTTGTAGGTCAAGGTGGATGGCAGCGGTTAAGGCTGCTCATGGCTCCAGTAAAGACATGCAAACTGCAGCAAGCAAAGCAGACTCTTTGAAGGATGAACTTGATGAAGGGACTAT